CTGCTGTCTACTTTCTTCCAAATTACTTAAAACTTGGGAGCAAAATCAAAAAAAAACCCACAGAGCTTTTCATTTAGAAAACGTCATGCAGAGACTGAACAAAGGCCGTTTTAACCTGAGTCCTCCGGGGAGCTCTGTGCCGGTCGGCTCATCCGCTCGGAATTCTCGCCCGAGCTTTGCGAGGCCACCAGCCCCCGGCGTGGGAGCGCCCGGAGGGAGGCCCACGAGGAGCTGGCCAAGAGCTCAGCAAACCCGCAGCCGGCGCGCGGGGAAGCGGCCGGCGCGTTCACCTGCCCAAGGGCTGTGGCAAATCCTGCACATCTGTTGCGGTATGTGCTGGCCCTTGGGGGCAGGCCCGCTGGAAAACTTGTCTTAGCCTTGTTAATTAGAGCTAATGAGGCACGGGGTGCGCAGAGGGTGCCTCTCGGCCACAGGCAGCTCTGAGGAGCACTGGAGTGGCTGAGTGGTGCATCCTGGTTTGGTGTGAGCTAGTGCCGAGGTGTGGGGAGGACAGGGCATCCTCTGCCCTGGGTGCAGGGGGGTTCCTGAGTCTCTTCCAGCAGCAGCCGGGAGCTGTTTGTGAGAGCAGCAACGTGGTGCTCGGTGGCCCTGGCAAGGGTACGAGGACCGTCCTTCAGTCCTTGTGTGCATGAGATCGTTCCTGGACAAGGACTGAAGCGTGGGCTGGGATCCGGGCATCACCTCCTTATCCTTCTGCCTTTACTGACATCCCTTCCAGCCAGTGCTTTGCTCCTGGATTTGCCGCCAGGGCCTGATGTCATTCTGCCTCCTTTCTCTCCTTTTCCGCGCTCAGTGAGACTGTCTTCCATGTCTTACCAACATGACCAGGTTTTCCACCTTGCTTGGCCCTCTGAATCGTGGCTGTTGTCAGAAGCCTTGAAGATGAGGCTGCTGCCGTGCAGCTCTCAGGTGCCACCTAAATCACTCTTCCTCCTCCTCCTCCTCTGCAGGTGAATCTGGTCCTGAATGAAGGGAAGTCCCTGGGCCTCATGATCAGAGGAGGGGCAGAGTATTCCCTGGGCATCTACATCACTGGCGTGGACAAAGGCTCGGAAGCGGAGAGCACCGGCCTAAAGGTAAGAGTGGCCCCGGAGTGGCCTGGGGTGGCATCGCGCACGGCGGGTGCAGGGCAAGGCCGTGTTGCTACACAGGGGCTGCGGTTCTGCCCCTCGACGCAGGGCTCTCAGCAGAGGGGTAAACGTTCGGTTTCTGAGCAAGCTTTTCAGCTGTTTTGGAGACCAAGCAAGGGAGCAGGGCTGCTGTGTAGGAGGAAGTGCAGCCTTATAAACTGTGGAGTAAGTTGTACCTGCTTTAGCCGCTCCTACACCTCATTTCTCAGCCTTGCAGAGAGCCTGGGATTGTGCTCAGTGTAGATGTGTGAGGCTGCAGCCCAAGCAAGGCAGGTGAAGAGAAAAAGTCACTGTCACCTCCCTGCGCTGGCAGGGCAGAGTTTTCTATTAGAGCTCCTGTCCTGGGCCCTCCTGCTGCGTCTCAAATCCGTGCCCATTGCGGACAGAGTTGGCAGCAGCCGAGTTTTGCATGGGGAGCTCCTGCCTGCAGGGAGGCATTGGGCGGCCGCATGGGCTTTCTCCGACAGTGCAGGCGTTCGAGGAGCTGTCCCTGAACAGGCAGAAGATGCAGGGGCACCCTGCGGGCTAGAGCAGAGCTTGTCCCCCTGCAGCCTCACCTAGTGTGGCTGGGAGCCACAGCAAGCTCCGTGCTCAGGGCTTTCGGGAAGGCTGCTCTGGGGCCCACCGTGGAAGCAGGAATTCCGCTCCGCAGGAATTCCCCTCCTGGTCCTAGGCTGGCTGCGCTTTTGCTGGGCGCCTCTTGTAAAGCGGGACCTGCTTCTCCTTCCCGTGCTGAAGGCCCCATCATGTGGACATGCACACACGTGGCTCTGCGCTCCCCTGCCCCTAGTGCCAGATCTCAAACAGCATGAAAAGTCCTGGGATCTTGGCCTTGTCAGAAGGAACCTTGGGGGAATTAAGGTTTTGTATGTCCTCAAGCACTCGCTACCAAAAGAAGTTGAAAGGGGAGCCACTGGACTCTGTGGAGTGTCTCGATGCTGCTGGTAGATGAGGCACGTTAGAGATGCAGGGCCAGGCTGTAGTGTTTGACTTCACAGCTCAGAGACTCTCTTTGAAGGTTTCCCTCCTCTCCAAGTGACCCAGCTCCCTGCAAACACCCTGTGCACCTTGTGCTTCTGTGGCAGTGCAGTCCTGCGGGCTCGGAGGAGGTTTCCTCGGCGTTGCCTTCCTCTGCTCCTCATGTGGGTGAAGCCTTGGTGACTGTTACTCTCCTTGGGTTCTCTCGATTCATCGCAGTAGCGCGGGGCTGCTCGTCGCTGAGGGCCGGCGGCTCTGTTGGCCTCGCCATGCTGTGATGTGACACGTCTCTTCCCGAACCAACCCTGGAGCGTTTAGGGCTAAGCCTTTGCCCTGTGGCCACGCAAAATCAGTGTGCTAACCTGTCAGGACTGGTAGGCTGGAGAGGGCTGCTCTCGTGGAGAGCTTGGACTGGGACAGACACAATCCTATTCCCCAAGTTGCTTTGGAACAAATAAATTGTAACATGGGCACTGAGACCCCCAGGACTCCTGTTACAGGCAAAGGAGAAAGAGGGAGGTATTTGTTGGGTGTCTCCTTGGAACACTTGGTCATTAGCAGAAGAGCGTGGTGAGGGGCAGGAAGAACAGCGTCTGGGACACAAGGATCTAAGGACCGAAATGGTAAAAGGCACAGGACAATTTGCTTTTCCTAAAAGAGCAGGAAGGAGGTTGGAGCCGCCCTGGGCGTCATGCTGGTCACTTTGGGTCCTGCAGCAAGCTAGTTGTCCCCAGGGTCTGCTGTCCCAGGCCCAGAGTGCCAGCCCCACCTCATAGACACCTGAGAGGTTAAAGGTAGGAAATGGAAAAGAAGTTGCTTTTTTTCCCTAAAATTATTTCTGCTAGTTTTCTTGTTTAGTTCTTCCATACTGTTTCCAAATGCCCCTCAGCTGCACAGGGAAAGTTGCTGCTTCGCTTGTTTGGGTCCACCTGCAGGTGAGCTGAGCACAGCTCGCGGCTTCCGCGTGCGGGGAGGATCGTAGCAGGCTGCTGAGGAGTGCAGCCTTCTTCTAACGGCGTTTCCCTTGATTGTTTTTACGAGCAACACACAGCAGTGCCTCCGCACCGCTTGCTTTGCCCGCGCCACCAAGGCGGGAGGAGGATCCCGAGCGCGGCTGCCTGCGGTGTCCTCGTGTGCCGCTCCACTGCGGCGCGGCACCGCGCGGCCTCCCTGCGAGGCTCTGCGCTGCGGGCGAGGTCCCACGCCAGGTCCTCTGCTTAGTGATTCTTTATGTGTCTCCCCTTGCTGTGCTGGTTTCTAGCAACTGATCTGTGTGCGCCAGCAGCCCAGCGCTTCCCTCAGTGTCAGGCACCGTGCAATTTCAGATACACACACACTTCCCTCCTTGATTTGTGTGCACTGCAAGCCATAAATTTAGCACTAGTTTGTGCTTCGGAGGTAAAGAAAGGCCGTTGATGTTCTGCCATTAGACATGGTCTGCTACAGACTGCATCCGCTCGCACCCGGAGCCGCTCCACCTGGCGGCAGAGGTGATGCAGCCACGAACAGGGAAGAAGCAGTGAGTGAGTGCAATTTCCAGGTGATCTGATGCATTCTGAAATGGAAAGATGGAGTTTTTGCTCAGTGTGGGCATCATCCAGCCCTGCTGGAAGTGATGGGCAAGCTCCTGCCGGTTACACTGGCGATTGGTACTACTGTGGGTTGTGCTGCTCCACCTGATTTTTTTTTCTTGCTCACCGGGTACATAAGAAATATTTTGTCAGCAGGTAAGTAACTACAGCCCTTCAAAGCATTATCTCAGGGATAAGGAATAAAACCTCGTTTATGATGAGCTTTTGAATCTGCTTTCTAAGCCCTGGGTTTTGTGCTCTGCTCTAGCACAGGTTCACTGTAACCACAGGTCACTCGCTTTGCCCTGGCTCCAGTTTGGCATCCCGAGAGTTGTAGGTGCCTTTAAACGCCTGTTAGTTTGGTGCCTAAGTGGGACTGGGCTTTTAGGAGATCAATCTCTGACATAAAGCACTGAAGAGATGTGCTATGACAAGGGCACAGAGAAGACAGGAACTGCTAGGAAGCAAAGACCGGGCAACATGTTTTTGCATAAAGCATTATTTGCTTAAAAACAAACAAAAAACCAGATTTGACGGCACTGAATTTGTTATCAGATTTTTTTTTTTTTTGAGTTAATGTTGCCAAACTCTTTGCTCTTGGTAAAGAGGTACCCCAGAAATCCCTCTGGCATCCATGATTCCAAATCAGAAATTTTGAATGCTCTAATGACATTTTTGAAGTTTCCTTAGATGTTTAGAGGACAAATGACCAGTGATGCTGAAAACTAGTCAAATTCGAGAAACGTTCTGTAAGGTCTTATAAGTTAGATTCCTAGATTTGCTTTTTCCTGCTACGGAACCAGAGGCTGCAGCCCCGGGAAGGGGTCCCAGAAGGAGCCCCCCGTTCTGGGTGGTGCCGGCCGATGCAGATCGCGCCAGGTCGGGTGGCTCTGCTCCAGCTGCCGCCTTCCTGGCTGGAAGCAGAGCGCGCCGCAGGTAGCAGCAGGAAACACGCTGCATCACTGCAGCCCTCGATATTTAAATATTCATGTTCTTGGCCTTGGCTGCCTTTACGTTTATTCATTCACAAAGCTTGTGACAACGCGTTCTTTGGGCATATTTTAAAATATGCTGCCTAGGTATAAGTGCTCACGCTGAAGAAGTGCAGGTTAGCAGAGGCCTGAAGAGCGATGTGCGTTAGTCTTGTTTGCTTCCAGCCTGTCCTTTCTGCCTGCTCCGTGACGTACGCGGTGATGCTGCACAGGAGCTGAATCTGTTCTGCTGGAGTTCGTGGCTCTCTGCAGCCTGATTTTTTCCCCTCATTCATTTTCTCCAAGCCTTGTATTGTACCTATCTTTTTTTCAAGCATTTTTTTCCCACTTGACCTTTACATGAGGAACAGCAGGTTTCATGTAGCTTTCTTTAGACAAACAGCTCAGTATGAGTTTCCAGCACAAAGATTGGCGTAAAAAGGGTCTAGCACAATCTATATATATCTGCATACCAGGGAAAGAAAAAGAAAGGCTGTAAATAGGAAAAAGTAAATGATTTTATATCATCTGGGGTATTCATGAAGCTGCTTCTGGAATGCTGGCTTGTATTTTGGGGTCTACACATTGAAAAAAGATACTGAAAAAGCAACCCAGGAGCCTCGTGGCTGATTCAGAGGTTGAGGAATAAGCGATGTAGTGAGGAATGCAGCAAGACGAGAGGTTGTGGTGGGCAGGTTGAGGCCTTTCCGCCAGAGGCAGCACCGGAGGGGACTAGAGCGGTGCTCGGCACTGTGTCCTCAGTCACCAGGATGGGCCTCTCCCAGCATCTCTGCTCTTCGGGGAGGCACAGGAGTGGTGAAACCACTGGTTACTCCAAGAGTCCATCTGCTTCTGTCGTGTCCTTCCCTTCCCTTGTCCCCCCTTATTTTATATTTTATGATGAGATGCTTGGGGAAAGGCTATGTGTGCAGCAGCACGTGGCACCTCCTGCTCCCTTTCCTTGTTCCCATTATTCCTGATCCTTCTGATAGGGTGTTTCAGCCTTCTCTGACCTGCATCATCTGCCCTGGACTGTTCAATCCATTTTTTCCCATATATCTATATTTTCCACAAATTTTAGTGCAACTGTTTCCAAATTGGTTCATATTTTTCTCCACCCATATTTTTAATTTCTTGAGGTGTGTTTTTTTTAATTATTTGTGCTAGATAGCCTCCTCCATTAGTGGTGTCTGTGAGTACAATTTAGCCTCTCTTCAGGCACGTTAGTGTCATTAAAGACTAGTGCTAATGCCAAACTACTTGGCATGCTATTAGCCCTGCTATTCCCAGCTCAATTTGGTGTCTTTTAACTTGAACTCATGTTGAAAATATCTTATCACGTTTTCTGTCCACGTGACTGATACTTTCCGTGAACCAATTCCATTTCTTATGAGGTTTTGGATATCTGGACCCTTGGCTAAAGTCCGGAAAGGTTCAGCCACATCCCCCTTTGCCTGCGTGCCTTCAGCGGGAGAAGCAGCCAAGCAAGCCCAGCATCAAGATCTGCTATTCCTCGGTTCTGCTCCTCATCTGCGGTTTGGTGTGTCATGTTCAACCCTCGTTATTTCAGAGTAAATTTTCCCTTGGCAATTAAAATAATTCCATTTTTAGAAGAGTTCGGGCGCTCCAGATGTTCTCTTATTATTTTCTGAGTCCAGTTGAAAATTTGCTTTGGAAATATCCAGGTCAGTAAGGTTTTTTTGCATGTTTTATTATTTCTTTCTTTATTTGGTTGCTAGTTAGAATCTGTGCATATAGCAAACACCTTGCCAGGGTCAACCTTTGTTTTAACAGATGCTGCATTTGTATCTCTGCAGTTTTTTCTTTTTTTAAAAAAAACCTTCCAAGTTGTCCTTGACTTGGGGGGAGAAATAGTTATCTGTGTTTGAGCAAAAATCCTCTCCTGCCCTAATACGATTGTGTCATCCAGATAGACTGATTTGTAGGCACTTGAGCTGTTCAGTGATCCCTTTATCTGCCCTTCACCAGCAATTATTCTTGCAAGGTCTTTTTTTTTTTTTTTTTTTCCTGCACACTGGTGCATAAATCTAAGCATTTGTGGCAAGTGGTTCTCACCCGTTGTCAATATTGTGGCATCACTAGATGGGGGTTTTCCTGGGGTAGGTGCTGTCGTAACCTTGATGCTTGGGTGTACCAGGCCACCCACCCCGGCTGTACTCACCACCGTGTTGCACTTTGTGCTGCTCCAGCACCTGCAGGGGTGAATTTGCTCGTGAACGTGGGGCTCGTGAAGCTCTTTTCTCCTCTTTGTCACCTCCTGCCCCAGAGTCCTGCTTAGGGGAAGGGCATTCCAGGCTGCTTTTGTCCCATTCTGGAGGAGAGAAACTAAAGAATGGCTCATGAAATCTGTTTAACTGTCTTGAACAGAAATCATAAAGGTTTAATCTTTGATAGGAAAAGCTATTAAAGATTGAGAATTGCAACAAAGCTATCTAATAGAGTTTGAATTTCTGTCGTTTCAGTGCTGCAGTGAACCCAGCACTCCTCATTCTGGCAGCAGAATCGGCTCCGGTGTGCATCGTCTGGTGCATTAACGCAGCCTGAGAGATGATGCTCGTTACAGCGAGCGTGCGTTTCTGCAGGCAGTTTAGTCACCACCATAATTTACCCTCGTTGTTCGTTGGTGCTTAGCAGTTTTCCGACAGTTGGTTAAAGCTGACAGAGCTTGAAGGCAGCCTGAGGTCTCTGCAGTGTCTGATGTGGGGAACGTGGTCGTTGATATTTGGATTCTATTTTCTGGTTCTTGGAGGCAGGGCTGGCCCAGGGCTGCCGCTCTCAGCCCAGTGGAGCTTCGCATTCCCGGCACATGATTCCAGCAGCTGCTCCCTGCTCCGCAGTCCATAGGGATCAGGGATCTGCCCTGGTCCTCGTTGGAGCTGCGGAGCCTGAGCCAAGGCCCTCGTCCCTCCTGCCCAGGGAAACTCGAGGAGGGGAAGGTGAGTTGAGAGCAGGCGGCTGCTCTTGCAGGACCAGCTGCTTTGAGCCTTTTCCTGGAACCGATGGAGCAAGTCGGTGCAGCCAGACCCCAGCTTGGCCACCCCCGGGACGCTGCAGAGGCTACTGCAACGCGTCTCTCGTCTCTTCCCTTTGCATGGTAGCCTCAGTTCCTTTGTCAGCTCAGGGACACGGGGGCCTCAGCTTCTTCCTTGTCTGGCTCCGGGGCCTCGGGCTCGTCTGTGCTCTGCGCGAGCTCCGTCCGCGTCCGCAGCGGCGCTGCCTCCCGCCTCCCCACGCACCCGCTGCCCTTTCGTGAGCGGGAAGGTTACGCAGGAGCTCTTGACTCCTCATTATTGCCACAGTATTTTTCTGTCTCTCCATGATGTCCATCCCCACACATTTATCTCCTCTCTAATTTTAACAGACATAATCTTTCCAATTTCTCTTTCACAGACACCTTCACATGTCCCTAATCATGGCTGTCCTCCTCCTCAGGAGCTTTCCTTGCTGCCTCTCCTCACTAGCCAGCAGGGCTCACCCTGAGGTCACGCAGTCCCTTGGACTATTGCTGTGCCTTTGCATTGGTGTTGGAATCCCCACTTTCCTATCATGTGTTTTTATTGTGGGCTCTTTTGATCTTTCTGGACTCACAGCTGCACAAGCGGCCCGTCGCCTGCCACTTCACGTGTCTGCTGTGTTCACTGAAGAGGCCTCAGTCACGTCTCATGCCTTGCGAAGGCACTTTGGAATTTCCGCTCTTTGTCAGCTTCCAGATAATCCTCAGGATCCTTCATTCTTTTGTGTCTTTTCCTTCGCTGTCGCTTCTCATGGGGATTTTGTGCCATCTCTCTTTCACCTGTGACTTGGGTGGCAGCCGAATGACAGCCCACCAGTGACCAGTCACTGCTCCTCACTGGAGAGCACAAATGTAAGTGTCCACAAAATTATCCCCTGTGCTCTGACTGAGCTGAAAGAATTGGAATTGATTTTAGCTTCAGAAATTGTCTCCCATCTTTCTTGTACCCTTTTCTTCCCCAAGAAGTGGTTGAGTTATTTAAGGAATGTCTCGTTCTGCTTGCACTGCAGCATAAAGAAAATAGGGCTGTGTTTTGACAGGGCTCAAGCGAAGCCTATGGTTAAGCAAAGATACGAAGGAGCAGTATAAAAGAGGTGGTTTATCAGAAATGGAGCAAATTGTGATACTTGAGTGTGGAGGAGCTGCATTTAAAGCCCTAGAAGCAAAGAGGAAGAGGAGCTGGGATGAAGAAAAGCCAGGAGAATGCTGTGCCTTGAATAGGGCCAGGCTACCAGGGAGGCCCCTAGTTACAGTGAAGCCTTGAGCACGAATGAAAACTACCGGGAGCAGCAGGGGAAGGCTAGGGAGGAAAGAGGAGGGGAGGGATGAAATCCCAGCTGCTACAGACCCCAAATTTCACACAGAATTGGAAGCCAGGGTGGGACACTCAGGTTGGCCTCTCCTGCATCACAGGTTGCTGAGGCTCAGAGCAGCATGGCTTTTGGCCTCCAACAGGAGGGAGCAGCAGGGAGGGCTTGGATCATGCATTCTTTAGGAGTTGTTTCTAACCAAGAACACCCTGAAACTTACAGAAGGGGACAGGCAGCCTGGTCTGGCTTGGGATCCAGCTCTAATGCTTGGTCCGACTCCGCAGGTAGGAGACCAGATCCTGGAGGTGAATGGCCGGAGCTTCCTCAGCATCCCCCACGACGAGGCCGTGAAGCTGCTCAAATCTTCCCGCCACCTCATCATGACGGTGAAGGACATTGGGAGGCTGCCCCATGCCCGTACCACCGTGGATGAGACCCGGTGGATAGCAAGCTCCCAGATCGGAGAGACCCTCGTCAGCTCGGCAGGGTACGTGCTTGGTGCCAGCCCCTTCCAAGTTTGCCAGACAAGACTTCCAACGCGGAACTCTCCGTAGGGTACATACAGTCACCAAGGAAGGGTGTAGACCAGCAGCACATCCTGTGCCACTGAAAGTCTGGCAGCTCGATGCCCTTTGATGTGCATCTGTGAGCTGTCCATGGGAACGCCCCTAGTGCCCCTTATCTGGTGCTCGGAAGTTGGCATCTGTGACCTGTGATGTTGATCAGGCCCAGAGAATACGTTTCTGCATCGTTCAGAGCCCCTTCCTTGAGCCTTCAGGTCAGGAACTTGTCCCAGGTTTAACTTACAGCAAAGGCACTGAAAGAAGTGAGTGCGCCAGGCCCTGTGCAGGCCCTGGGTGATGGCGGCTCTGGGGTGCCTTGGTGGGCACACAACGCCTGGTGCTAACTGATCTTCTCCCTCCTCACAGGGCAGTGGGCGCTCACGCTGCGGAGACACCAGCCAGGGTAAGAGATGTTGGACCTTCCAAGCGCCTCTTGAGACGAGTGTCATTGTCCCCTGTTTTCCATGGCTGGGAGGGCTGGCTTTGTGCTCGTGGTTATACAAGGGATGCAGGATGTGCTGCCTGCAAAAGAGCTCAGGCAGCTCCACAGGATATCTGGTATCTTTGGAAGGTGACCAGTTTGCACACAGTGGTGAGTGGTAACTGGCTCTGGCCGTTCTCCTGCCCATCTCACTTTGCCAGCTGTGTTTCTGCAGAGGGTGACAGAATGCCACTGCTACTCCCAGACTGCTGCTGAGGCTATTCTCCAGCACACTGGGTGCTTCCCAGCCTGGGAATGATGCCATTGATGATACAGTGTCCCCATGAGCCAGCCCAGCCTGCCCTGGAGAGATGTGCCTCTGCCTGGGGCCCAGCTTGCTTGCCGTGAGCCTGGGTGTCTGCTGCAGTCTGAGCCCAGGCCTGTGATGCCGAATGGGGAGGCGAGATCCCTCCAGGGACGGTGTGCGCTGGAGGCAAAGCAGGTGGTGCTGGGAAGAAGACAGAGGTGCTGCTGGAGCAGATCCTATGGGAGGTGAATGCAGGCAGAACTGCAGGACAGAGTCAGATCCCCCTTTTCTCCCCATACTGGCAAGGACAGAGAGGGGGATCCCTTCCGCCCTGCAGAGATGGTCCTGACGCCTTCAGGCTGGCGGCCGTGGCAGGGCCCTGGGAGATGTTGCAGCCCTCAACACCCGCAGCGGAGCAGGAATCTGGAGCGGCACCAATGCGCCTGCAACAGTGCCTGCAGGGAGCAGGAATCCGGAACGGCGCCATGTTCGGGTGCAGCGCCTGCGGGGAGCAGGGATCTGGAGTGGCACCGCATTCCCAGTGCAGGGCCTGCAGGGAGCAGGGATCCGGAGCAGCGCCCTGTGTCCACGCGGTGCCGGCAGCTCTGCAGCAGCAGGGCCTCTCCGAACGGCTCTCGGCAGAGCGCGTTCCTTCTAGATGAGGCAGGGAGACGCCGCAGGTGGCTCTGCTGATAACGGCGCAAAGCTGATTCCCGGTGCCAGCTCCTCAGTGTCACTGCCTTGTCTGGCTCTGTATCCCCACACTGCCAGGGAGAGGAACCACAAAGGGCTTCTCTGTTAGAAATCATTTGAGATCGCTCTCAAAGGGGGAAAAAAGAAAAACCCTCCTGCCTGCAGTCAGAATTGTGTCTCCCTGGGACTCCTCTGGGTGCTGTTTCTCCACCGGGCTCTCCTTGGAGCTTGCTCTCTCTCTAGTGGCACCACGTTCCCAGGCGGAGGGGTACATGCTGCTAGCGCTTCACCGGCTGCTCCAGGGACAGTGTCCTCACTCGCTGGACAGAGCTGTGCTGCTGTTTGGTGTATTTAGGGGCTGCAGTGCCTGGTGCCTGCCCTTGGCCCTGGAGTTGCTCAGAGCAGCAGTGACGCTGGGGCTGGCTGGCGAGTGCCCGAGGGGACCTGCCTCCAGCCGTGCTGCGTGTCCCCGCCCTGGGGCTGCCTTCCAACACGACCACCGCAGGGGCAGAGGTGTGGGCAGCCGGGGGTTGTGGACAGAGCACAGAGCAAGGGCTGAGCCCTGCTCCTGCTGCCAGGCTCTCAACACTCACTGAGTTTCAGTGGCATCTGGCTCACAGCCTGTGACTCGCACGTCCCCACGTCCCCACAGTGACATGCCTGAGCTCTGCCTGGCCTTCAGCTGCTGCTGGGCCTGTCCTCTGCTGCGTGCTGCGCTCCCTCCCCTCCTACCCCACCTCCAGGCTTCTTGGGGAAGGGCATCAGAGCAGAGTGCTTCCCAATGGGGCAAGTAAGGCAGAGATCCCAGGATGTGTTGCCTGCAAAAGAGCTCAGGCAGCTCCACAGGATATCTGGCATCTTTGGAAGGTGACCAAGCAAAGTCTAACGAGACAGTTAGCAGCACACGGCGCTGAGAAGCAGCGTTCATTCTGCCGTGCCACAGCTGAGCACAGTGGCCTCGTTCGCCCTGGAGGCCAGGAATACAGAGCCACCATCACAGGGCTGAGCAACTGGTCCTTGCCAACAGGAGCCTGTCTTGGGGCCTGGCAAAATGGCCAAGGTCAGGGCAGAACCGCTCCTCTGTCCAGCCCAGAGCTGCTCTGTTCAGGCTGGTGCTGGGCTGGCTGCTGGCGGAGCAGCCGTGGCGGGAGAGGCTCTGGGATGTGTCTGTCCTGCCCTGGGCAGAGACCCCCTTTCTAGGCTGGCTGCTCGTTCAGTTTGTTCCTCCTGGAGAGGGGGCAGACCTAGTTGTTCACATGCCGCCCCTCTTCCTGTTGGTGGGTTTCAGCAGCTGCTTTCTTAGCGTCCCATGCCAAAGCCTATTTCGTGTCTTCTGCAGCCTGTGTTTTACCGAGGCCTGGCGGGCTCCCAGGTGACGCTGAGCAGCGTGGTGAACCAGAGCCGGGTCATGCTGGAAGAACAAGCGCGGCACCTGCTCAACGAGCAGGAGCGGGCAACCATGGGCTACTACCTTGATGAATATAAGGAAGGCAATATCTCCGTGGACGCTTTGGTCATGGCACTCTTCGAGCTACTCAACACGCATGCAAAGGTGAGGGCCATGCTGAGGTCAGGGATAGCTTCCTCCACCCCATGGAGTGGTCAGAGCTGCTGCCACAGGGTGGTCAGTGCTGCCTGCCAGCCTTTCCAGACAGTTCAGGAGACATGAGCCCCTTTGCAAATGAGCTCTCAAATAAAACCAAAGTTCAAGGTTATCTGCAGAGGATCAAGAGTGAGGATACAAAACCAAAACCTAGAGATAGGGCAGAAGGAGGTTTAGTGTTCAGTGACAAAGGGGCTTCTGGACGAGTTCAGGACCTCCTTATCGCTGCCAGTACATATCATCACCGCAGCTGCACAGGACAGCAGAGTGGGCATTCACCTGGCTGGGCATGTGGTCGTGCTCCAATCTCTCTTTGGTTGTCCCTGTGCCTGGCCCAGTTCTCGCTGCTCTCGGAGGTGCGGGGCATGATCTCCCCACAAGACCTCGACCGCTTTGACAACCTGGTGCTGAAGCGAGAGATCGAGTCCATGAAGGCCCGGCAGCCCTCGGGGCCCAGCATTGGCACCGACTCCTACTCCATGATGTCCTACAGCGACACGGTCTCCTCCTCCAGCAGCCACTTCACCTCGACAACCGTCAGCTCAGCCAGGGTAAGTCCCTCCTGGCTGCTCCCTTTTCTCTGAACACCTGCTCCTGGCAGCCCTGCAGCAAACTTGCTTCCCTGGAGGTCCCTCAGGGACCCTGCCTTGCTCTGAGAATCATAAAATTGTTAATGTTGGAAGAGACCTCTAGACGTCATCTAGTCCAACCCCCTGCACACGCAGGGTCACCTAGAGCACGTGGCACAGGACTGCGTCCAAGCGGGTTTTGAAGATCTCCAGAAAAGGAGGCCCCATGCCCTCTCTGGGCAGCCTGTCCCAGCGCTCTGTCACCCTCACTGTTAAGAAAATTTTCCTTAAGTTCCTGTGGAACTTTTGGTGTTTCAGTTTGTGGCCATTACCTTTGCCACTTGCAGGTGACTTGCAGCGGAGACTGGGGTGCCTGCAGCAGAGCCGGACAAGCTGGCAGGAGTCAGACCCGGCTGTGGGACCTGGTGGAGAGCAGAGAGTGCACGTGCAGGTCCCCGGTGTGCCGGCCTGCTGGTGGGATCCCATGTGTCTTCTGTGCCCTGTGTCAGCGCTGTGGGTGCTCCCAGAGGCTCCAAGATCCTTGCAGGCAGGGTGGTTTGTAGGTGCAGCAAGGAGATGCTGGGAGACTTGGCTGGTATCCCGGTGTCCTTCAGACTGAGATGCCACTGTCCTCTGCACGAGGGCCGCGCCTGGTGCCAAGCATCGCTCTGTCCCCCGCGAGGGGAGAGTTCCGCTTCCCTTGTGCGGCCTTGCTGCACGCCGACGGCTCTGTCCGCACAGAACTTGCTAGTCACGGCCTGCTGCTACTGAGCATCCCTGGCTGTCCCTCCGCCAAGGCGCTGCTGCCTGCTGGCCTGTCCCGACGGAGCCCACGCAGCCGCGCGCTCCGTGCCGCGTCCCAGCTCCCCGCAGCCCCGGCGCTCGGCCAGCAGCGCTCCCGCCGCTCAGCTCCAGGCATTCACGCGCCGCCTAATTAAGTTATCATAATCACCTCTGAGAGTGCAGGCACACACGCAGCCCCAAAATTAATTTCCTAGCCATAAAATGCCTTTCATCATAAATGCATTAGCAACCCTGGAAATTAAAACCTTCACAAAAAGAGCAGATGACAAGGGGCTTCTGCTAGTTCACCAGCGAGCAAAGCTGCACCATGCTGCACAGGCCCCGCTCCGCGGCCGGTGGGGAGGAGGTCGGGGCCTTGCTAGGGCTGTGGCTGCCGCCGTGTTCAGTGCAGCCGCACAGGTGGGCTCAGTGCGTTGCAGAGTGTTAGAGCTGCTCTTTTGTGTCTGCTGGACTCCACAAATCCGTGCAGGAAAGCCGTGTGCTCCATGCAGGGTGAATTACAGGGTGGTCCTTTCTGGATGAGGGTGAGCAGAGTTTCATACCCCTCTAGGAAGGCTTCCTAGGAATCAAGGACCTAACAGAGACCTAACAGAGAGCTCGGCCAGGATTTCTCACCAAGTGTGACACTCGCTTCCCTGGTTATCCCAATGCCAAGTCTTCCCACGTGCTCTGGGTTTGCCGCACTCTCCCTCATGCTCCATGATGCCAGTGTGGCTGACGGGTGAGCAAGGACCCAGCCTCCCCTGGCACGAGGGCCCAGAGATGAGTGAGGGAGCTAGGGAACCCTCTGGCCACAGAGCAGTGAGCACACACCATCTACCAGGCCTTGTATTCACAAGCTCCCTATAAGAGCGCGTGGCCCTCAGTGGAGAGAGCCTCCTCCTTGGAAGAGTCACTGCTCTATCCTTACCCTGCGAGCGTGGATGTGAGAGCAGAACACCCATCTGCAGCCCTTCCTCGCAGCTGCCAAGTCAAGGGCATGGGCTTTCCTAAATAAGCACCTACCTCAGCAGGAGAGAGCAGGGCAGGACTCCCAGACTGGCTGCTCTGCCCTTTCCTGTCCCAATTCCCCATTGCTATTGCCCTTGCCAGCACCTCTCAAAGGAGAGGGCTACTTGCAGCCTTCCCGTTCAACCTGGGATGCAGCTGGATGTGGGTTCTGCTGGATGGGCTCAAGCGGGGAGGGCTGCATTGTGCTAGGCTTTGCTCTGGGGGGCTCGCTCGTCTCGCTCGGGTGTTCTGCATCCTCCATGATGTTTTATTTTCCCTTTCACGCTTGTTTTAATCTGCTTTTCCCCTCGCGCACCCCCAGGAGCGGCTCCTGTGGCTAATAGACCTGATGGAGGTAGGGGCTATCAGCCAGCCGGGGAGCTCAAGTGCTGTGGTTGCCATAGCAGACGTGCTGAGAGTGTGTGCGGGCGCGTGTTGAGCGGGAGACGAGGACAGGCCCTGCAGAGGCCAGCACGCATCTCGGCCGCGTGATCAGCCGCTCGTTTCCCCCTGCTCTCTGCTCCTCTGCGGAACTGTTTCCGAGCCCCTGCGGGCCTGGACACTGCGGTGGTGACAAGACTCCGGTGCCTTTTCCAACACGTCATTAATCCTGAACCAGAACCGCTGGCACCAGTGTCCTGCCTGCAGTAATGCTGCGTGCGCCGCGCGACGGCCGTGCCGGCTCCTCCTGCTCTTGTGCTGCCTCCCTGTCCAGGCAGCCTGGCTAAGTACCATGGTCACATCGTGTCACACATCCTCAGAGAGCGGGGAATGATTTTCCTGCTAAGCCTTGGGTCTGCGGAAATCCGTGTCCCAGTGCAGGAGGGATCGATGTACTTGCACTGTGGGTGTTCCGCCCTGGATGAATCTGCACGTGTCTAAAAATGAATGTGGGGAGAACCTCAAATGTGGAGGCCCACACTCAAAAATTTCTGTCATAACAGAGCTTTTGGCTGGAAGGAGGCTAAGAGCTGCCTGCTCGTGCCCTGCCACAGAGCTCTGCTGTGCCTAGTGCTTTACCTGGGGTAGATCATGGGTACCTGGGGTTAAATCACCCCAAACTTTGGGACCTGGCTTGCTTTGGCTTTATCACCAGGCACTGATATTAGAGCATACTGCCATCCCTGCTGCTCTCAGTGGCTCCGGGGGTAAACTCAGGCCAGAAATAACTCACATGAAGCTGAGCAGGACTTGCCAAGCAAAAAGTGATTGCAGCATGGGATGCTTGAAGGTTACCCAGAGATGAAACGAGGCCTCATCTAATTGTGCCACCCACTGGATGTCAGTCTGCTTGGCTAAGCCTCACCTTCGCCTCTTTTTAATGGAAGATTTGGATCCAAGATGAGTCCTGCAAAGCAGAGGTTTTTTGTTAACTGGAATAATCAGATGCAGCTGGTTTGATCCAAGCAGTTTGAATTTGCTTACAGCCATGACAGTCCTCTAGGGATTTTGCATTTTCTTTGTCCCTGCCTCCTGCCCCAGCTTAGGGAATTGAAATCCCTGTTTATCTTATTTTTCTTCTCTGATGCCTGCCATAAAGATCCATTCTCCCAGGGCCTGATTCCACAGGTGCTGGATTGCTCCCAGCACTCCGAAGCTGCTGCGCTTGCAGGTACAGGAGCAGAGCCAACGTGGTGACCCAGTCACTAACATCTGTGCGTGTTCTGGGGCTCTGTTTGCCAAGAAGCAGGAGTAAGGAAGGAGCAGCAAAGTGGGGCATGAGCCATTGCCCTTTTTGGAAAGGGAACATCAAACACACGAGCCCACAGCATCCTGGCAGCTCGAGAGCGGGTAGGATGAGAGCAGAGAAAAGGAGGACCTCATCCAGCCGCCTCCATCCCAGCAGCAGGACAAGCAGCCCCTGGGAGAAGTCACCACCGATCCCCATGCTGGGAGAGACCTTCGCCTTGTGTTCAAGAGGAGTATTGCTCCGTGGGCAGGGAAGCTGAGGCAGGGAGAGGGCAGGGAGGCGAGAGGGAAGGCTAAGCTTATTCGGAGATGCGGTGGTTATTCAAAACCTGAACTCTGTGGGAGAGAGCGTTTCCAGAGTTTTCAGCTGGAAAATAAGGGCCTCGTTTGGAGCTGCAAGGTCCCCTGCGGCACCCAGGGGCTCGCTGGGATGGGGAAGGGTGCGGGCCTCCCAGCCGGCCCTGCAGGGGATTGCAAGAGCCTTGCCTGGCCTCCAAAACGGGAGAGGAGCAGAGAATCAGTAGGAAGAAGCAGCCACCCGGGTAAACCCTCATTTTTGAGTGGATTCAGTGGGTCATTCGAGGGAGATCCGGCAAGCACAGTCTTAAAATAGCAGATTTTCGAAAGCAAATGTGCTTAGTTTAGGAGGTTTTAGATTGCATAGCCAGGTCCCAAAGTAGCAAGGGGAAAGCAAACCTGCAGCTCATGCATGAGCACAAACAGGAGCAGTGTTAGTGTCACTGCGATCGGGAAGAGCAGATCTCGGGAGCGGGACTGGGGCCATCCTGCGGGACTGCCGGGAAGGGCTCCAGGAGCCTCCCGGCTTCCCGGGAGGATCCCAGCCGTGGGAATGTTAGTCCCGGCTGTAGGCTGGGACTGCAGCACCTTCCTCTGGCTGATGAGAGCAACACGGAAGGGCCCGGTGTCAGGGAGATGGGCTTAGGGCTCGGCGGCAGCGCAGGACCAGGCGGCACTGGCAGGTGTCAGCGGGACATGGGGCAGATCCTCTTCTTCCAATAACAGGGGGATTTGCAGGCAGGCTGCCCCCAGCCTTACGGGCAGAGGCATTTGGCAAAAGCTCAGTGAACGCTGGGGGCAGAGCTGGAGAGGGCAGCTGAGATTCCCCTCTGCAGAGGAAGAAGTGGTCTCCCAAGCTAGTTCTTTCCCTGCCAGAGTCTGCAGAAGCTACTTCATTTTACTTTCTCATTTGCCAGGAGTCCCTCTGAAGCCACAGAGATAAAACCCTTCCCAGCAGTATTTTTGCTGCTTTTCTAATGCATTTAATTGTCTGTTTTGGGACACTGACATCTTACAGGCATGGCAGGAGCCTGCAGCAGATGGGAAAATGTGAATGCACAAGCGTTTCAACTAATTGGTTGTTTACCCTGCAATAAATAACACCCCGTTGAACAGAAACGGTCCCTGCCCGTTCCAGCGCAAATGAAGGAGCCTCCTCGTTCAGTCCCGCTCGGTGCCCGGAGCAGAGCCCGTGGCAGGTCCCCATGTCCTGCAGGCTGGACACGGCTCCTGGCAGAGCTGTGCCCACCTCCGTGCCTGGCAATATTCTGCCTTCGTCTGTCCTTACTTAGCCAGGCTGCCTGTTTGCTCTGTGTGTCCATACGTGTGTTCTGTGCTTCGCGCCGTCCCGAGGGGCAGTCACCCCTGAACGGACAGACTGACTGCCTTAGTCCTTCCCCGTTTCTGGACTGTGGTACCTGCAAGGCTCTGTTGTGATATTCCCTAATGACATTTTGCCTTGATATGAACAGAGGAAGTGGCTTCTCTCTATTTCTATGCAAATATTCTGTTTTTTGGGGCGGAGGAAAGGTTTTGACTTTTCATTACCTTTCCTCCTGGAAAGATCCATCCCTGGGCATTGAACTCACACCCTCAAAATTGCTTCCTCCCTTCCTTATCTTCTAAATTAAATATAAAGAGCTGATATATGGGCCAAGAGAAGCATGTTCCTCTACTGTAGAGGAAATCACTCCTTTAAATGAGGCTCACAGCTTGCTTTAAGCTCTTTTCTTAGCTTTGGAGACTCAGTTTACCTGTGTGGTATGTGAGTCTCCAGGGGAGCGTTGCAGGCAATGCAAACCTTTTTCCTCGTGTGCAAGACCCTGGTGCTGCTTCCCTCTGCATGCTCCCTGTCACTTTGCTACTGCTTCCTGCTGTGTTAACTGGGTTTTCCCTTCCTTTCTTGGCCTCTCAGAACACGTCGGAATTGGAGGGAGGTGGAGACAACCAGCAAAGCAGCATCAACACCCTGCCAGACATCTCTCTGGTAAGAAACGGCACCACGTTGCAGCATCTCGTGCGGGAGCTGGTGCCGATTGATGATGCTGAGTTTTGCCTCAGCTTCTGTAGCTCTTTGCAACGTCAGGCACTGCAGCAAGGTATTACTGAAGCAAATTGATTAGACCAGTTTGAGTTGTCTGAATAAAAGTAACATCTGCACTTACAAGAGCTAAAGCAAAACTTGGGTGATTTGTCCTCTAACCGTCTTCATTTATGAGTCATATTCATAAGCTCAGGGAGACTCTTCTATCAAAATCAGTGAGTTTTCCTGTGGTCACCATGGGAGGGCAGATACCAGGTGACTGTGGGGTTAGGGACTGTGCCTGAGCCTGGTATCCTGAATGTTGCTGGTTTGGGTTTGGCAGGATGATCTCTCGTCCTTCCCAGAAGAACCACCCAACTTCAAGCCTCCACCGCCTCCTTCAGCTGCCCAGAGGCTGGAGCCTGCGGTTGGCCAGCACAGGACCCCTGGCAAGGAGAAGCTGACGCGTCCTTCCTCTGAGTCCTCTCAGTCAGGCCTCTTCTTTGTGGCCCCCCGAAACCCCACGCCCCCTCCGAGCCATCCTGAGAAGGACACAGTCAGCCTGACCTCCTCCACTAACTCATGCCCCGAGGAGTCCGCTCCGAACGCCATCTACGCCACCGTTTCCCCAGCCCTGCGCAGCTCCAGGAGACACGTGGATGCGCAGCTCTCCTTGGTCAGCCAGCTCCCCATTGGCCCTTTCCCCAGGGTCCAGTCCCCGACAAGGCTGAAGAGCCCGTCCCCGGAAAGCCCTGCAGCCCGGGGGCTGCCGAGCGCCTCCTCGCCGTCCCCTCCGCCTCCCCCGTGCCACCCCGCACCACTGCCACCGGACAAGGGCAGCCCGCGGGCAGCGGCCAACCAGCACTTCATCATGGTGGAGGTTCATCAACCCAACAGCGAGCCTGATGTCAACGAAGTGAGGCCCTTGCCCCAGGCCAGAGGTGCGTGTCCCAGTGGGAGCAGCTGCTCCGGGATGGAAGATCCCCATTGCCATCAAGCTCTCTGCTTTCCGGGGATGGTGGCTCTTGAGCTGGGTTGGCTGGAGCTCAGAACTCTGCTCTGGCAATTGCAGGAGCAGTCTGGGCTGTGGGCTGGAAGCAGCCCCCGATGGTGCAGGCTGCCCTGCAGAGCGCGGCGGGGCGAGGAGAGCGGCCGCGCGCAGCGGCACCGGCCCCGTAAGAAACTCCCGAAGAGAGAACCCGGGCGAGTGGAGAGGGACCAGCCTGGGCACAAGGCTCTGCAGCAGAGCTTTCCCCTGTGCCAGCGAGGGGCCGTGGCACCAACCTGGGCAGTTTAGCTCCAAGCTCCAAGTTAATGGAGTTTGGAGAAGCCAAAGTGTCTGCATCGCTGTGGCCGCGTGCTGCTGCGTGGTTCCTTAATTAGCTGTGGTTCTGTTTTGACTTGCGATTTTGTTTTTCTGAGACATGGTTTTTGGAGACATGAGCAGCAGTGGCAGCACTGATCTTTCCAAGACGGAAGGCCCGGCCAGGGCTTCAGGCCGTGGCAAAACCCAAGCCCAGTGGCTGCTTCACGTCGGCACTCGGCGTGTTCGGCAAAGCCTCCCCAGGTGCTCTCCAGCATGGTTTAATCTGACCTTCACCCAAAGACCAGATTGGGGCAGGTAGTTGATTGCAGCGTGACTCTTGTGGAGGCTTCAGTTAGTAAAAGCTGCTTGCAGTGGAATTTTCAAAGCAATTACAGGATTTTCCCATTAATAGCTGCCTTTGGAGAAACCTGGTTGTAGGGCAGATTCATCCCGGGGATCTGCCAGGGAGCAGGGCAGAGAGCAGCAGGAGGAGCCGGGAGGCCCTGGAGGTGCCCAAGGAGGTCACAGTGATTTGGGCGAAGGCACTAGGGGTCCCGCATGGTCCCCATCCTGCGCTCCCCCCGGTGGCCTCGCCTCGTCGCCGTGCGTGTGGCACTGTCGCCCTCTCGAGGCACTGGCCTCCCACTGCAGCCGGTCCCTTAGTTGCTGCTAGGGGCAGAAACGAGCCCGAGCTGGCACTGCGTCCCTAGGGGTGACCGGCCGCAGGGTGACACCAGCTCCTCCAGGTCAGAGATGCGACTTCCGGGGCCTCGGTCCCCTCTGCAAACGCTGCGCTGCTGCCGTGCGTCGGCTCGGAGACCCGTGCCCAGTGCCTCGCTTGGAGCGGGACGGGGCTCTTGACCAGCAGCTCCTCGCTCCGGTCGGTGCCCACCTCCTCCCGGGCGCTACAGGTGAAGCTGGTGCTGTGCGTGGGGTCCTGGGAGGCCACCCTGTCCCTGTCATCCCAGTGCAGTATCTGGGTTGCATCCTGGAGTCTGCGTGTTCCTCAGTGCCCGGTTCTGCTCTGAAGGATGGGGAGATGTGGGCACGCTCGCTTGGCTCCGTCTCTGTGCCCAGATACCAGGGGAGCCGCCCGGTCCTGGGAGCAAGGACCATGCTCTGTCCCCACGGTGGCTGGCGCCCCAGGCGCGGGCCGTGTGCCAGCCTCCCTAACGGGCTGTGTCTCTCCACAGCCTCCACGCTGTCGCAGCTCTCAGACAGCGGGCAGACCCTCAGTGAGGACAGTGGTGTGGATATCGGCGAGGGCGAGGCCCACCGGCAGGGCCGGAGGCCGC